ACAGATGAAGAAACGAAACGTCGTTGTACCGCAGAAACACTGAGTCATTGCTCACTATTGTCCATAAACACACACGAGATATAAATGAGTTAGTGTTCACTTTCAGTTCACGTCGCCTCACGTAGGCTGTACGTATATAGTTAAACGATTCCCGGTAAAGTTAAAGTTGGTCTATCAGCCCAGTTTCTTCGAGAAAGTTTGTAAACGCGTCTAATGGTCCTCGTTGCTTATCTTGCGGCTTCCAAGTTTCTAGCATGTTTTTAAAACTGTAAGCTTCGCCATAAAGTTGTTGTAAGGTGGCCTGTAGTGTCCACCTTGCGTCATCGAATTTAGAGCAACTTGTAAAAATGTGATTGAGATCTTCGGGTATACCACACTGTTGACAATTCGGGCTAGCCGCGTGGCCATACCTAAATCTTTGGAGATTTGTATATGCGACATTAAGACGTATGCGGTGGTAAAGGGTCTCGAGCTTCCTTGGTAAATGTTTTGGAGATATTCCTTTTAGAGAAGGATCGATTCTGAAAAGTGGCTTGTAATGATAGTCTGGTGACTTCCAAAGTTTTCTAAAGTCCTCTCTACCAAGTGACATAATTAACGATCGAGCGTCTGTTTTCGTAAAAGGTACGGTGTCCGTGGTTTGTAATAGGTGACCATTAGAGGCAGCAGCATCTGCAGCCTGATTTCCAGCTATTCCGGTGTGCCCCGGAATCCACTGGAATACCACATCATGCCCGCTTCTTTTGAGCTCTGCGTAGCTAAACAAAAGCTCAAAACACAAGTGTGGGTTGGATGAAGAGGTGAGGGAATGCTTTAATGACTGCAGCGCAGCCCGTGAGTCTGTCAAAATTGCCCACTTTTGTGAAACTGTTTGAGAGTGGATGAATTGGAGTGCCATCTTAATTCCGTGTAGCTCCGCAGTTGTTGAAGGGACATTGTGTGACAGCTTGAAGCTACGGGTTGTATTGAGAGTTGGTATAACTATTGCAGAGGCTGATGTACTAGTACGTGTAGAGCCATCTGTGTATATATGCACACGGTCAAAGTATGCATAGTGAATATGACTGAGCGTCAATTGAAGTTGAATTACTTGCGACTGTGCTGCTTTTTGGATGAGACCTGGCACATTCATAAAAACTTCTGGGACATGCAGTGTCCAGGGAGGGCAGGATGGGGTTTCATAATACTTGGCTGAAGGAGGAATATTCTTTTGCAGTTCATCCACGGCTTTACCGAACCCAGAGCTTGGTCTTTCACGATTCAAATTTATGAGATAATGCCGCTTGTGTCGAGATTTGTGCCTTAGGTGTATTCTTAACGTTTCTTGCATGCGCATTGTTGTCAAAGGAAGTGCTCCAGCTTCTGCAATTGTGCCAACATTTGAAGTTCCACCAGGGACGCCAAGACAAATTCTTAAAGACTTATTTGCCTCTGCCTGCAGACTCCTAAAGTTCGTGGCAGAAATGTTCTGCAAAACTGGTAGGCTGTACCTGATGAGAGAATTAATTAAAGAGTCCTGTAATTTCAGCATAGATGTGCAAGACTTGCCCCAAGTCCTTCCTGTAAGGCAGCGAAGGATATTGGACGCGGAACCAAGCTTCGATTTAAGGTATTTTATATGTGGTGTCCAGGTCAGGTTTTTATCGATTAAAAAACCGAGAAACCTATGTGTTGGTAGGTATGGGATGAGATTTCCAGCAAGGACTAAAGGAAAACGTTTCATCGACATTCGTGTGAACGCCATGGCCACAGTTTTTTCGGGAGATAGGCACATTCCCCGTTCTCGTAAATATAGGCTGATTTCAGCAAGAGCGTGCTGAAGTCTCCGCTGGCTGACGAAACGATTAGCGTGTGTCGACCACATACAGATATCATCGGCGTAAATCGAAAGCTGAATATGCCTAGGGAGCTTCCGGCGTAAGGATACAAGCGAAATATTGAAGAGCGTAGGACTTAGTACTCCTCCTTGTGGTACACCTCGCTCCACTGTGTGGTCTTCCGTGTCTCCGTCAATTGTCTGCATAAAGATAGTTCGCTCTTTAAGGTAGTCTTTCACCCAGTTAAAAACATTCCCCCCAAAACCATGCTCAGCCATTGCAGACAAAACTGCTTCGTGCGTGATGGAATCGAAGGCCTTTTGGATATCTATGAAGATAGCTAGAGTTTTGCTTCTATCGGCAATGCCTTGCTCGACCGAACTAACCAGATCGACTACGCTGTCTGTGGCAGAACGTTCAATACGAAATCCAGACATTTCTTCAGGATACAACTTGGATTTTTCGATGTACCATGTCATTCTTGAGAGGATCATTCGCTCCATTATTTTGCACACGCAACTGGTTAGCACGATTGGTCGAAATGATCCCAGGTCAAGAGGTGAACGTCCAGGTTTCAGAACGGGGATGATCTTGCCTCGCTTCCAATCTCGTGGAAGCACGCCTGTAGAAAATGATTGGTTATAGTATTCGAGTAGTCTGCGTTTTGAGTGCTCATCCAGCCGTGAGAGTGCCGAGTAGGTTATTGCGTCAGGACCAGGTGACGATTTCTTTTTTGAGTCCTGTAGTGCATGACTCAGCTCTGCAAGAGTAAAGGGACAATCGAGAAAGATTTCGTTTGATGACGGTGAATGAACAACATGGCGTTTTGGACATTGGATATAGCTTGAGCTTCGAGTAACAAGGCGACAAAATGCCTCAGCAATTTCAATATCTGTAGATCTCTCACGCAATGCGAGGGCCCTAAATGGGTATTGTTGTTGAGCAGGCGCTCTGATTCCGCGGATCACTCTCCACAGTTGAGACAGATGTTTCTTTGCATCTAAGGATGAGCAGAGCTCTCTCCATCGACGTCGGCTAAGAGCGTCAAGATGTTTGCGTACCTTTTTTTGTGCTCTCCGGACATTGCGGTAGTCCTCAGGATCTTTTGTGCGTCTAGCTTTTCTTTCTGCTTGTCTGCGGATTGCCCGTAACCTTTCGTACTCTATGTCTACCTCTGTTCGATTGAAAGGCAGGGTTATTTTCCGAGTCGCCTGCAATATGCAGTTTGTTAGGGAAGGCAATAGCTGATCATTGGTTGTTGTTGCTGTAATTAAATCACTGGCGAGCGTAGAGAACTTGTCCCAATCAGTAACAGATATAGAATGTGGTTTTCTGCTTTTGTCAAAGCCACGGACAAACGTCAGGACCGGCATGTGGTCACTTCCCCTGGTCTCAAGATCAGTTGACCAGGCAACATGTTTGACATAGCTAGCTGACACAAATGTCAGATCTAGAACGCTACTGACAGTTTCTCCTCTATAAAAGGTTGGACTCCCGTCATTCAACAGGACTAAGTTCAAACTTTCTGCGAGTTCACTGATCTGGCACCCTCTTTGGTCGTTCCGGACGCTACCCCAGAACTCATGATGGGCATTAAAGTCACCGCATAAAAAATGCGGAGAGGGGGTACTCCGAAGAAGAGTCTCGACGCGTTTTGAATCAAAAGCTCCCCGAGTCTCAGTGTAAGCGGAGATGACAGTTATATTTTTGTTTTTGTCGTTAACAATGGCACAAACGTATTCATTTGTGTCATGGGGGGCTACTTCAACTTCAGCATAAGTAAGATCTTTTCTTATTCCCAGTATGGCGCGGCTGTTTCCGCATGTTCTCTTTGAAGTGATAAACGTGTATCCCGAAATTTTAAAATTTGAATAATCGCTAATCTTAGGTTCCGTTATAGCTAGTACAGGAAAACGGTACTTGAAAACAAGTTGTTTAAAATCAGAAAGTTTTGATCTGAGTCCATTTGCATTCCATTGAAATACCGTTGTTGCACTCAAACTATCTTGAAAACATTCTACTTTATCCAGGCAAAAAGGAGAGGACTGATTAAATCAAGTCCTTTCTGGATCATTTTAGCCCATTCTGATTGCTGAGTATTTAAGAAACGACTTATGATATCAATTATGATTCTGAGGGCAGAGCTGAATATGGACTCACCGTCATTCGCGATATTTGGCTCAGAAGTACAGCTTACTGGTTTCGCGGTTTTCTCACGTGCATTCAAGTACTCTCTATGTGGAGTTTCGGAGGAGGTTCCTTTTATAGGTGGTGGTGGTGAGATAGAGTGTATGGTGTCGTTCTTCAATACAGGTGCCGACTGAGGTTCTACCGATTTCAAGGAGTCACTGTACGTGCGCTTCACAGCATTCTGGCTCAAACTCTGGTTGACTTGGACGTCTTCTTTGCTGGTTGATGGGAGGGAAGGAAAGTCATTCAGATCGCGTGGTTGGGACTGTTGGTTCTGGTGGGTTGTCTCGTGTTGAACGTGAGCCTGTGAGTTATTCGATACTGTTGTGTGGCCTTGTCTTCGAACTTCTGCTAGCCTTTTTTGTTCGATCCGTTTCGGGCACCCTTGAGCTAGCGCCTCATGACAGCTTCCACAGTTAATGCATTTTGGCTCTACAGATTCGCAGGCATTTCGATCGTGTTTTCCTCCACATCGACTGCAAATTGTTTCGCGGAAGCATGCAACAGTCTTGTGGCCGTAGCGGCCACAGTTTGTACACTGTAAAGGGCGTTCTTCGAAGGGAAAGACTCGATAGCGGACACGAGAAAGAAGAGCGTAATCCGGCAGTTGTGTGGTTGCAAACTGTACCTTCACAACGGATGATTTTCCAAGTCTTCGGGCATGCAGAATGGGCACTGGTTCGGCACTCAGCTCATCTTGTAGTTGCATGTCGGTGATCTCTTGATCTACGCCCTTTATGATACCTACTGCTGCTGAGCGTGGACACGGTTCATAAGCCCTCACGTCTACTTGGCATAGTGTGGTAACCTTGAGAAGGAGTTTCGTTGCGTAGGCATTACGAGTATCAACCGCTATCAGATTTAGTCGCTTGTTGGGGCGGATCATTAGGATACATTCCTGACATATTGTCTCCAGCGCTTCCGAAAGTTTTAGGCTACTTAGTTTGGTAAGACAGACAGCAGGATTTGCGGGTATAAAAATGACAGTCAAACCTGTCTCTTGAAGTTGATTCACCTCCCCGTTGTTTTCGTGCTGACACTTCCGCTTCCGTGACGTGTAGACAGTGAAGCCATCGTCGTCGGCGTTCGAAGAAGCTTGCATGTGATCCATGTTGACTTGTGGCTCACGCTGCGCAGGAGTGATGTTAGCAGACTGTGAGTCTTCATTGTTGAATGTACCTGGCGGCTTGGTTGCTTGACTGCATGGGTCCACCGAGTATAAATGGTCCATAGGTTCTTCGGTGGGAATCAGAGGTGTCTGACCATTTTGTGTGTACTCGTCCATTGCGGTCTTCTTCAGAGCCCTTGGTCTCTGGGCCTGAGTCCGGAATGCTCTTTTTTGGCCTCAAACTCTCAAAAATAGGCAGTTGGTTCAGCAGTTTACGAAAAAAAAATTTAGGACAAGCGGTCTGGAACGTCCTTCGCTCACTTACTCTTCGTCGTCCTCCTCAACTGAATTCGATCCATGGGTTCACTTGCCCTTCTTCTTTTCCATCTTCTTTTCCACATTGAGTCACATCATCACAAGGGGCATACGCCCTACGTACCCTCCCCTCCTCCCCCTCAAGAGCTGCGCTCTGATTCGGCATTACAGGGATTTGTAAACGTCTTTAATTCTTTTTAGTTTCCCATCTAACTATACTTCATGAATTTCCTTTTCCATTTTCGGTAGGCTTTTCACTATCGAGAAGTTCATTTTAGTTATTGTCGGCAAATGAAAATAATGAAAAAAAAACATTCAAATATACCTGAACTTTTCAGTGCCATGACGTCAATGGCGGGCAGGCTTGCCAGTCGAGCAAACAGTCTAAAAGAAAGGACTGTTTCAAGCTTTTGTTCGCTGGTGTACGGATACAAGAGCGAGTTTCCAAAGCATTCATTTGACGTCATGAAACGGCTTAAAATCAGTTGGGAACAAAGTCTACAGTCCAAAGAGTGAACCCTTGGCTTCTGCTGGCGTCACATTTTTCATTGTTTGCGGTAGACACTTTCAGTTTGAAAAACACGGTGGGAAACGAAATTTTAAATTCAATTACTTCGTGAAAAAAAAGAAAAGAACACCAACATTTCTGCTAGTATTTCAGCGATGTTTGTTAGAATGTTTAGCAAATTTTCAGGCAAATCGGGGACCATGAAGAAATCGCCGAGTGACGACTCTAGGGCTACTTTTCAGACATTGTTATCACCCCTCCTCTCATATTTGCAAAAAAAGTTTAAAGGGCCTCCTTTTGAAGAGGAGGCGATGATTTTTACACGTTTCTCATTGCTCAACAAATAGTCATTAATTTACTGTCTCCACGTGTTGACACCTGCAGCCCGTTATGACAATTTCTCGTGCGTGTTGGACACACCTCTTTTGATTTTGTCTCTTTTCAATTTCTTTGATATGAAGGGGAAACTGAAGCAGTTTTGTATTTGAGAAAAAGAAACACCTAAATCATGTCTATTTGACCTCCAGGATTATGAATATGAAACTTAATTTTCAAATTGATGCGCCAATTAGCCACAACAGCGCTTTTAAAATAGCCCCTCCTTCCAGTCGCGTTCGGTGATAGGAGGTAATTATGACTAGGGTGCCTCAATGACCTTCTGTTTAGAGTGATGCCACCCTTTGTAGTACCCGATGCCGACAGCACGTGCTCACGGGGAAAATATAAAGAAATCGACGAAAACAAAATGTCGCCATAGCACAGTCAGCGCCACAGACGCGTGCAGGGACACGCTCTTTCACTCGCTTCTGAACAAAAACTAAATGTAAAAGTGGGAACAAAATGGCCAGATGTCTCCACCCTAATCATAGAGAAATCTTAACGTTTCCGCGCTTTCTGCAAGCCCTACCCGTTCAGTCAAAAGCTTTGCACGCGTTTCTTCACAAGCGGCACGCGCAGGGCAGTTGAAACCTCTGGGTCTAGCGTCACATCCTGCAATTGGTTTCTTTTTTCTCGCGTCTATTGATACGTTCAGATGAAATGGTTGTGGTGTTCTTCACAAGACAAATATACTTTAGAATTCACGTCTGTTTTTTAAAGGACCTCGTCAGCATCCCTTAAATTACTATCAAGACAAAAAATAATTCGGTACCATTCTTTTTCATTTACTTCAAGCCAAGTATAAGGCAGGTAAAGCGGTCAATTTATTCATTTGATTGTGGATTAAATTGAGCGAAACCTCCAGGTGTGGCTATAATACAGCTTCGTAGTGGTGATTCTTTCTCAGAATATGAAAGCTTAGAACTACTAAATGAACTGCGCTTAAGAGTACCTGCCCTCTGTTCCTCCACATTGTTGTGGGCGCCGCCATTTTGGGTCGTAGGCAAAGCAGACGCAACTGTCGGTCGTCATGATTCAAAAGTTCGACTTTCTCAGCATTAGGTTCGGTGTTAGGAAGCTCATCTAATATTGCTTTGCTCTGACGCGAACGGTTTATACATTTCTGAAGGGCGGGAAAACGTTTCCTGTGATATCGGATAAACCTTCAGATAACTGGCAACCGTGATTTTAAGCCAGATGCTGGGCATGTGTCGTTACTCTGAAGCGTAGCTTATTTAGTGGCACTATGAGAGCTCATGCAGCCTGCAAGCTGGCTCTCGTCGGAACTTTGTTTCCAGACCTGAATCGCTAAGGGAAGAACGGAAGGATATCAAGCTATGAGCATTTTTGGTGGTAGCCTTCCGAGATTTTGCTGAATGCCAAAAGGTTAACGTAAAATCTACACATGGTGTTTCACACACCATGCAGAGCTCTCCTTAGCCAATGGCTTCTGCTATTTCGATTGCTTGGGGTACAGTAAGCGCATTTAGGGAGCATTAATTTGAACTCCAGACGATTGCACCCGCGAAGTCGATAAAACAACACTAGCCAGAGATGGGCCCATGGAATGGTATGCTACCACCAGGAATGGTAGTATTTGAAATACAAGCATTTAAAAAGACGCATTTAGAACACCTGGAGTATTTTATGTTTTACATTCAATTGCGCATTTAAAATTGTTTATTTAATTTGAATACTGATATTTTGTTATTTAGAATACAAATACAATTACATACAGATTTGGGATTTATTCGCAATGTCTCGGTTTGAGCGTACTCAACATAAAAGAACAATAAAAAAGACAAACGAATTTTCCAATATTCATTTTCTTAAAATCTAAAAACCCTTGGATGCTTATCACCATACCGCTGCAGCGGCCACTTTTCAAAACGAACCTTTTTTTTTAAGAACGCATTTCAGGTCAATGAAAGGTTTTACGTCGAGTATACACTGATTTTCCACGGTGCTTCTTCGTAGCGCTAAGCGCCTAGATTATTTCTTGTCTATCGCTCCTGCCTCTCCTTTATGTTGGACTGGCAGTCACTTCTTCTGGGAGTTCTAAGCTTTTCCCGTATACATGGGTTGCACGGGACGTCATTCACAGAGTTCTCCGATGACCACCAGAGACGAGGGCAAGAAGGAGCTCCCCCCTTATATTAGGACCCTCTTTCGTGCCTCCCGGATTTCCACTAGCGTCGCTATTCTCCTCCCAGAAGATTAGAAAAGATTAACCCGTCACTCCAAACTCTTACTAAAGCAGCTTCTCTCTCCTCCTCTTACATGGTGGTCAAAAGTATAAGATGTGCAACCCTCGTGTAGAGGTTACGAATGAAGACGAGCCCTAGCTGCAACCGCTGACCCGGAATTCCCGTGGAACATGTGTCAGCCCACGCTCGGTCGTGGGGCGATTGTGCACGAACTAAAGTGTACGGACCGTGCTAGTCTACGAGCTGTTGACTCGGGAGGCACCAATGCATTGTAACGCGTCTAGCTCTCTGTGCGCATGCAGTCATTCGGGTCAAAAATAAAGGTCTTTAACTTTCGAGACTTATCTAGTGCACAAAAGTTTGGAAACAGGAGGGCTTGCGCGTCCGCGGGTTGGTAGGTAAAAGCTATTTACTAAAACGTCACAAAGCTACTTGAACTAAAATTTTTTTTTGTCTATTTCCATGTAAATTTTTTCTACCCTTTGTCTCCTTGTAACACTTTCTTTATCCTTTCTCAGCAAGACCCGTAGCCGGCTGAATCGTACTCTTCTGCTGTAATAAAGACATTCCAGACAACAAAAATCAACAATTTTGTTTAGATTGTATACTCCACATTGTAATGAAATTCAATAAGCTTACTTAGGCGGGGGGGGGGGGGGGGGGGGGGCTCGAGTTTTTCAATTGATGGGAAGTTGCTTTTTCACTCTAACGTACCACTTTTCAGTAAATCACAATTTTGTATTATGTACTTCTTATAACGTGTTAGACCTCTTTCGAAAGTCTGTATTATGTTGGAAGTCGTGGAATCCCTGCACAATCGCGCACACAACCACGAGCGTCTTGCGTCCGACTCAACGTCGGTTCGACCCAACGAAGTAGAGGGGCTTAGAGCGATACACTGGTAACCCGGTCAACTGGCAAAAGTCACCGCCCCCCTCCTCCCGGCTGCCGCCACGTTGTACAATTTTGAACACTAGACACGTGACCGTACCAAATCCTGAGGCTTTCACGCAGAACTGAGGCGAGATTTGTATTGCGACCGCTGTACAAAGCATTTTAAACTATTTTTCAACATTATTAGCCGCAGAGATCTGTGTCTAGCTCCCATAAAAACCCAAAATACAGCACTGCGGCTGACGGCATATAGTGGAGGCGTTGGGAAGCTGTCCGAGGTTTTATCGTAAAAGCACATTTTGGACCTAAAACAAACGAAGCATAACTTATCTCCTCGGTACTCTTATTAAAGATCAATAAACAATGATCTGTGCGCTGTACTTTGTTAAAATCTAGACGTAAAACTATAGGGTCACGTGTCTAGGGGTCAAAATGTGCAACATGGCGGCGGCCGGTTGGGGGTCACCTTCAACTGCCAGTTTATAGCTCTAAAGCAGGGTTCCGACAGTTGAGGTTGACCGCGTTTGACTGCGTTGCGGCTGCGAGAAACCAGGACATCCCTGCTGCTTATATCGCGTGCCAAGATGATTCCATGAGTTGGATTCCACGCTTCATACGAAGCACAGATATGCCGGTGACTCGCTTTCGTTCTCGAAGCAACCCAGTAAAACGCTCTCAAACGCAAGTGTCTGAACCGGCGTTAAACCCCTCTACCTCGTTGGTTCAACTGCACCCCATCTGCGCGAGCCCTCGTGCAGCGAGAGCACAAGTCCAAGCTACCCGCTCGCGCCACTTGCACGTTCCGTGGTGTCAGTCGTTCCACCATTGTGCAGTTAGTGCAGTGGAACAGATCTCTTGATCAGCACGTGGCTTTC